AGATTGATGTAGAAAGTTTAGGCAAGTTAAAAGGCAAGTTCAGGACTCTTCATAAAGTTTTAAGACTCTTCAAATAATCCAGTAACCCCTGGAAGCATCTGTTTCATGAAACGGACCTCCACCTACTAGTGTGCCTTGGGAAATAAGAGGATAGCATTAAAGCCTAAATCTCTTCTCAAAAGCTACCAAGGATTAGTCTTGCAACCTGATTCTAAAGTATCTAAACTATGTGCCCTTGTGCATGTTGTTCAATTGTCCTAGTTTCCTTCACCTTCACCTACTTACCACAAAAAGTTTAGAAATCAATAGAGAGCCAAGCTTGGCGGTACACACATAAATCACAGCACTCGGGAGACTGAGGCATAAGGATCACTGCAAGTTCAAGACCAGCCAGGGCTACAAGTGAGCTCAAGGCCAGGCTGAACTGCATAGTGAGACAGCAGAGACCTTGTCTCAAAGAGACCAAACAAAAAAGTCTAGAGAGAATGTCAGAATGCTAAGGGTGAACACTGATGTTGATTCCCAGGTAACACTGCCACGCCCTTACACTCTTTCAGGGCTTCCACAGGTCACCTCTTCACCTCAGATGGAGAACAAAGAGATTCACCAACACTTCCACAACATTTCTTCTGTCTGAATTTTCACAGACAGAGACAGAAACACACACAGTGATTTTCTTCCCTACCAATCAGCATCAGCCCTCTGATGCTACCCTAGGAATTCCTCAAGGAGGTACCTCCTGCCAAAGAAACTCCACCTGACTAGTTCAGAAAAGCCAGCTGTTGTAGTCAGGGATTGCAAGGAAAACAATTACATACAAGGCACATGATTTAGAGTATTATTTTATAATAGTTACTCAAAGAGTCAAATACAAAACAACAGTGTGAGAAATCTGTCCACACACTAAGACCCAAAGAATCCAACTAAGGACCTGGATCCCATAGCAATGTTCTACATGAATCCAGCTGAAGACCTAGAGCCCATAACAATGCTCTCCATGAGTCCAACTGGAAGCCTAGAGCCCACAATAATATCTCGTGCAAATCTGTGTCACGGATCTGTGCTGGGAAAGCCCAAAGATCAATGGCAGAAGCTAGAAAGTCTGTGCCAGGGGGATGAAGGATCTGTGCCAGCAGGCCAAAGGCTGCACACTAGAGGCAAGAAGTGATGTTCAAAATAAAGATCAGAGCTCCGCCCAAAAGCACCGCAGCCATCCTCAATGACAATGAGGTCCCAAGCTGCTCCAATGATAGGAACAGCCAAGTTCGTATCAGAAAGCCAGCGTGACAAGCTTCTCCTGGAGACTGAAGAGCACACCATCTTCCCGTCCTGAGCCAGGAAGCAATGCTCAAATTAAGGGATCACAGCTCCCCCAAAGTGAAACGCAACCATCCTCAGCGACAGCGAGGTCCCGAGCTCCTCTGACAGTGAGAACAGCCAAGTTCATATTAGAGAAGAAGCTCAACAAGCTCCTCCAGGAGAACCCACAGCAACAGGAGAACCAATAACACCCCAAGGAGAACCCACAATGCTAAACTCTTCCTCTCCAGTTCTCTTTTTTATCTTGGCAACAATCCTCAAGTGAGTCATAGATTCACCACCACTACCCTAAGCTCTTGTCACACACCCAAAAACTCTGTGCTAAGCAACAGCTTGCAAATACTCCTGAATTGTTTCCTCTAGGACTTCCCAACTTCAAGTCACACTAAATACCTGCTCAGAGGCAAAGTAAGCCTTGTCTCCCTAGACAGCTATAACATTTTCCTTGGATGCCACTACAGATTTCAGCCCAACTAACCTCATCTGACCTGACTACACCATTACAAGGGGACCTGAACTCCTGCCTGCTAAATGTTTCTGGAGCTCCATACAAAAGTGACTACACATTTCACTTGCTCTAAAAGACAGTTCACAGTCCAGAAAGTATGAAAACCGCAAGAGTAAGCTAATATCCAACAGAGAATCAACAGTCTATCTGGTGACAATTTCTAGTATTCATTTAACTTTTTTTTTTTTTTTTAGAAAGGGTCTCGCCTAGCTGCTAAATACTGATTTAATCTTGTGATCCTCCTGTTTTCAGTCCCCCATAGTGCTAGAATTACAGGTAAATATTACCATAGCCAGCTTAACATATTTTTTAATCTAAGTTGAAAGAAGTATATCTACCATCAAATTCTAATAGAAATAATACCTTATTTTCTCTACTACTGTACATATGGTCTTCTGAGTTGAGTAGTGTTTTGATGACAAATCAATGTTCTGTACAAAGGTACTTCAATGCCCATTTTTTAAATGATAAAAATGTGCACCATTTTTTTTGTGAAGACGTGAAGAGTGCTTTCCAGAAAGCAATGTAAAATGACATCTTAACCTCCCACAAGAAGCAATAGGTTCTGCTGTACCTGTACCAATTTTAAGATTAATATCTCTCCATTGGTCTATCTGAACACAGTACATGAGTCACTTCCGCTCTACCTACCTGAACAAATGCAAACTTTTTAGCTTCGAAGGGTCTGCATAATAGGGCCTCTTTCTAAAGCGTAATCTTTCTAAACTTTTCCTTCGCTGATAAAGTTTACAGACCAATCATGCTGTTTCCACTCAGTTCCCCCAAGTGATTTATAGTATCTGCCACTATACCATTCCTTTAGCTTCAAATGCCCTCCCCAGACTCAATCTGAATTCTCATCCAAGTCCAAGTTCAACTTCAGCTTCCTCTGTGAAGCTATCACCAGCCCAACTAAAAGTGATCATTCCTGTTCCCCATTACATTTAGAGACACATTATCTCTTTCCAAACAAACAAAAAAAAGTATGCATCTAGTAGATAAAAATGATGATTTCTATTTCTTTTGTACCCTTAGAGTACCCCACAAAAGTGACTAAGATATAATTGGTTGCTAAATATATGTTTTACAAATGTATTCATATCGCCACATTTGCAAAGTAACTTTATACTACTGTTTTTATCAAATACCACCAACCATCTTTACCAAAGCAAATAGGAAACAGAAAGTTTAAGATGTCATTTTGGTTTGCCTCAACATGACATATATGGGATGGAAATACTGTATAGGAAAAACTACTCAAAATCGTTAGTAAGGAAGAGCCAAGCTCACCCACTAATAATACACAATTATAGACATTTGACATATTGTCTGTAAAGCTAAGTAAAAACTGTTTTATCAAAGTAAAGGAAAAGTGTCATGAGCATAAAATAACAATGTGGCAAAGTTAAGGCTGTGCAAGGAAATTAAACAGTCTTAAGGTAAATATATTCAATACCCTCTGCTGAGAAATAGTGATTATATGCTTAAATGTCTTCAGTCTCTAGCCCAGAATAGATAGGTCTTGATCTACCTCATATGTAGTACAAATGGCGACACTACATAATAAACACAAGACACAGTGTGAACACAGTCACCTCTAAAATGAAACACTGTCATAAATGATATTTTAAATAATTCACCTGCTTTGTACTGCATTTGAAGATTTCCAACTATTGAAATAGGTTGTAAATGTTCATTTTATGAGAAAAGGAATTATTAAATGCAAAAATTAGTTTCTTGGTATTCCCAAATACTAAGAGGCTATTATACAATTCTGACAAATCTACAAGTCTGATAAGTACTGTTATTATTTGGATTTTTCAACTGAATGACAACCACGTTAGGGCAGATTCCCTGTCGACCTAAAACAGAAAGGTCAGGGATATAAAAATGATACTGCTACATCACCATCATCATCATCATCATCATCATCATCATCATCATCCCAACTAATATTATAGTATCTACTTTTATAGCATTTGTTATACATGAACCATGAGCCTGAGATCTTTGCACACCAACTTATAAATCTTCAAAAAAAAATCTGATATACGTGTCATTCTAACCCCAGTTTACAGACTAACACACTAAAGTTGGGCAACTGATACAAGATCACACAGCTTGCGAGATAGGAAGACAGGGTTCAAACTCAGAAAGCCCAGTTCCTGAACTCAAGAGTTTTCTCCATAAGTACCTTTCTGTCTAAATTCTGAGAAATGAAGATACCTCCTTTACCATCAGGCTTCCATAGACACAGCCACATGTTCTACAATTCTGTAAAACTGTACTTTTGATCCTGTGTCTCCTTTTAGAAGAATGCCCTCAACCTGCATTGCCTCAGCGGGCTGAAAGCATGAGCTCTGGGGACAGGCAGACTTGGTAAAGTCTGGATTGTGCTGTATGAGCAGTGATAACAGCAAGGAAACTACTTTAGATTCCTCATCTGGAAGATGGGGATAACGCTGTGAGGATTAAACAGAATACTGTCCCTGCCACACAGTAAGAAATGAAACAGTTAATATGATCACTCTGAGTAATTCTGTCATTTACCAGTTTTGAATTAAACTAGAATTCAATCCCTAGTTAGAACATTTTTTTAAACTAGAGATATGATAATCCCCAAAATTAAGAACTGTCTGAATATACATAATATATGTTGGTCACTAAAAATGAGTACTTTAGCAAGGTGTGGTGGCACATTCCTATAATCCTAGAAATCTTCTTAGAAGGCAGAGACAGAAGGATCACAGCTAGTATAAGGCCAGCCTGGGCTACAGGGTAAAAATCAGCCAGAACTGCTAAGGGGAAAAGAATTTAGAAGTTTTTTTTTTTTAATTTTTAAAAATAAAAATAAAAAATTAAGTAGTAGACACAAGCATCCATGATAAATGTGGAAAAAGAAAATTTTATGAGAATTAATGAATTCTTGAAGCTTCAAATGTCAGAAGCTGAGAATTTTTTGAACGAAAAACATGATATTACTAGGAACCAGCTATAAAAATGCATCCAATATTTTTGAATTCTACATCTTGGGAAAATTGCTTTCATGAATAATGAGTGTAAACAGGTTTCACAGAGGTAGGAAGGAAGTCGTGCAAGTGAAAAAACAATAGTCAGGAATCAGCAGCGCTGCATATTTTTTAACTGAGGGAAAGAGTTAGCAAATACTTACTAGTATCTGGAGTTTTCTGCTCAGATCTGCCAAATAAAAATTCATATTTGGCCTTGGCAACACTCTGGGAATGTGCTGAAGCATTGTTCACCCAAACAAATGTCTCCGCCTGCAAAATGAGAACAAATGACATCGTTAAAAATGCATTATAAAAAAAACACATCATAAAACAATCTATGCAATAAGGGAATGATTAACAACTATCAATTCGTAATAGACCACTATATAACCATTCAAAATGAAACATAAAAAAATGCAACATGAAAAATCAAATCACAAAATTACCTCTACATGACTACAATTGTAAAAATGAGACATACATATGACTATCAGCAGGGGAATCAGAAAAGCAAAAAGCTTGCCTTGATTGCGGCAAAGGTTTATGGTAAACTTTTTAAATTCTCATCAACTAAAAAACTTTTATTTTTAATTGTATCTTTTCCATGTGATAATCACTATCCAGTCTATAACAAAAAATATTTCTGGGTGGGTTCTGTTAAAGAATACAAACAAAAAAGTAGTCTTTCCCCGAAAGAGACTACAATTTTACCTAGTCAAAATCATCATTCAGCCAAATGGGCACAAACAGAACTGCCCAGAACCCCATTTATACTGACTGCCCTAAATTTGAGCATCTGTACTACTGTTCTTTATAATTCCCAACAGCCCCTTATTTGAAAGAAAAACATATCTTGATTCTAAATTCCCAAGACCTCCTTCCCAGCTGCTTAAAGACATTGCCAAAAATCAAGAATGTCTCCCTTCTTTAGACTCATTAAAAGTAAAGAGGAAGAAACTTTAAAGCTCAGGGATATTTGACCTAGAATAGTTTAAAAGCCGTTCTTCTGCCTCTTTACTCTGAACTCAAACATAACCAAGACCCAGACATGAGCCTCTAACTAGGAAACATCTTTCCTCACATCTGTCCAGCAACTTATCATTCACTTTTGGCGAGAGGGCCATAAAGGGTTCTATGAACAGCCAAGTAATTCTTTTCTTCAAAAAAGAAAATCTAATGACCTCTAGCACAGTCTTTGGAGTAGAAATGACTGACAGCAATCAGAAAGCCCTGCCACAACTCCGTTCCCGGACTGCAAACAGGTGCCACAGGACAGCTCCTCCATTCCTTTGTTCTTCAGTATCATTATCAAAAAGCTACCTGGCACAATTCTGAGATAGCAGTTTCTTAAAATAGCTCTACAACCTCCTAATGTTCATAATGTGTAAAATTTATCTTTCTAAAAAAAGTGTACACTGTACATAGTGTTACGTGCTTTATAATCACAGATAAAAACATCATTTCGCAACAAAGAGGAAGTATTAATTTTTGATGGGTTTGAGGAGCTTCAGGCTGATAAAAGAACTCAGTCAAGGGGCTCCCGTGGTAGGTACCTAGATTTAGGTGAGGTGGTTAGGGAAGGCTTTGTGAGGAATCAATGCATGCAGCAGTAAGGATGAGAGACTCTGAAAGGACAGCGGTCTGCTGCTAGGGAGAGAGACCAGGCACAGAGCCCTAAGGTGGCAGGACAGCCACTAACGCATGGAGACACAGCCAGTGTGTGGCCAAGAGTAGGGGAATGGGCAAGTCCAGACGACACAAAGCACCACGCAGAGCGGAGAGCAGGCAGGGGCAGGTGTACAGATCAAGGAAAGATAAGGTTTTACACAGTGAAGTGATTCATTTTTAAATCGTTTTTAAAGATTATTCATTTGCGCTTTCAAAAGATCATTTGGTTTTTACACAGAAAATGAACTGGTGATGAGAAGGAGTTAAAGAGTCCAAAGAAACAATATAGCTTACAGGCTGGATGGCAATGGAAATAGGCAAAAGTGGATGAATTAAAAATATATTTTATAGGGAGGATACACATAATTTTCTAATGTGTTGGATTTAAAGGATGAGAAATAGGGATAAATCTCAGATAACTGTAATGGATAAAGGTCACTAACCACTTACTCCATTCAAGGCACCTTTCTAACACAACACACAGTTTACATCATTCAGTGCTGAAAACAATCCTATGGACAATCTCATGGGTGGAGAATGAGAGCAAAGAGCAGGTAAACAGTAGAAGATTACAGGGCTAATAGACTATGGATTCCAGATTCAAACCCATGCAGTCTATACCCAAAGCCAGTAACACTGGGATGATGCCCAGGAATCTGGCTTGAGTAACTGGATGAGAACCGAGATGGAGACAGGAGAACATTATCCATTACTAGAAACTGGGCTTCCAGATAACTTCTCAAGGCCTCAGTAAAATGCCAAAAGAGAACATTTTGTAAAAAGGATTCCATTACCATGGTACTAGAAAACAAGATGGCATCCAATTTCAGGAAGACAATTTTCTTGGCTTAGCATCTCAATTTAAAATTTCAAAACTGTCCCTTAAAGAAAGGCTCCTGTTGACAAACAGTTTGTGACTCAAGATCCATGGAGGAGATCAGTGGAATTCTGGAAATTCAAAGTCAGATGCAAGAAAGAATTTTATATCACTATTCTCGCTTAAGATAAAATTTAGCAGTTTATTTCAAACATGAATATAGGCAAAGCCACAATATTAGCAGCAGTAATTATAACTTTGTTATCAACAAAAATCACAGTCATTTTCACATCTTATAACAGTTACACCAGATGTCTTGAAATATCATTAGTACTCATCTTGAATTTAAATGATAGTATTTCTTGATTTATCACATGTTACAAAATTATTCTGATAATCAGTATACAATTGGTATTCCATATCTGCAAGTTCTGCATCCACAAATCCAACCAACTATTGTTGACTATCTAAAAGATAGGATATGTGGTATTGAACATGAACAGACTCGTCTTTTCCTCACTATTATTCCCTAAGCATATGGTATAATGGCTACTTACATTGTACTAGTTATTATAAATAATCTAGAGATAATTTAAGGTATACAAAAAGACTGTACCAATCACATGCAAATATTACGACATTTTATACAAAGAACTTGAGCCCTCACATCTTGGCATCTGCACAGGTCCTGAACCTAGTCCTCAGTAAATACGAGGAAAGGACTGTATTTGGTTGCTTTTGTAACTCTGCATGTTCTACTACATGCAGTTAAAAAAAATAGTCTAAAACAAGATACAGGGCTTTACCAAGTTGTCATAAAGGGCCATGGCACAGAACAAACAGATTAAGAGAATTTACACGAAAGCACTGTTCCCTAGCGGCAGCCTATGTCCTATTAGTGGCTCACATGATCGGCTTAGTGGATGATGGCCAGATTTTTATAATAAATAAGTTTATACACTGCACAAATACACTTAATAGAATAAACCTGAATGTGCCAGAGCAGACAGCACATAAGATAAACTTCTAAATTGCATGTGTGTGTGCCATAATTCAAAGTGTATTTCTCTCATAAGTCATGATCCAATCTGCATGAAGCACATTGCTCTTGAGTGGTTCTCAGTCTGCAGCATGATTTAACATCACCCACAGTACATCTTAAACAAATACTGCTAGGGCCCAGCCCTAGCAGTATCTGTTTTGGTTGGTACTATATGGGGACCTGAGAATGTGCACCTTCTAACAGTGTCCCAGGGCATGCTGATGCTGCCGCTTCAGGAACTACCTTTTGTAAACCACAGCCCTAGATCACTGCTTTTCATGCTTTATTACACATAACAACCACCTGGGAACTTTGATAAAGTATCAACTGAACAGGCCCCTGATGGAGTTGGAGACTGCATATTCTTAAAAAGCTCTAGTGGAGGAGCTCGATGTCAGAACAGATTTTGGGAACCATGCAGCAGAGACTGCAGGTGTTAAATCTGGAGAGTGAGGAAGACCCAAAGCAGACCCTTGAAGAAGAGCAATATTTTTTGATCAGCTGCTCTACCTAGCAATGAAATACACTCATGAATTCCTCTCTAAATGTTAACAATTGTCAGGGATCCTATGTCCCAAAATGCAGACTCAAATCCAAGCCTTAACGTTCTCCCCTCTTGTTGAATGAAATAAAATTTATTCTGCTTACATCTGCTATTTTTAAAGCTGCAAACCCTGCTGATACTCCTCTTCCCAAGCCAAAGCCTTCAAAACATTATCCACCTCGATAATAGCTTTTGTGTGGCTTTGGAAAATTTCAAACAAGCAGCTTAACAAAAGCCTCACACAATTCCACACCACTTTTTCATTCTGTGTGTTAACTGAATAAAATACATTCTTTTTGTTTTATCGCACTGATTTTAGGGACATGTTTTATTAAGAAGCCTGGACTGGAGGTGGAAGTGTAGCCCAGCAGTGGACTGCATGTGTAGCACATAGAAGGCCCTAGTTCAATCTCCAGCAGGAAGGAAAGAAGGAAGGAAGGGGAGGGGAGAAAATACAAAATAGAAAAGTAACATTAGTAAATGGGCTGATCTGGACTTAGGGTGCAGGTCAGTTTATCTGTACTTAAATCCTAGCTCGGAAACTACCATGCAATCTCACCTAAACACACAGTCTTTGGATTTTAGATTCCTTATTGATAAAAATACTTCAGGGTGATCATCCCTCTTATGAACTCTGAAATTTAGAACTTTTTGGGTGCTGACAGGACATCCCAAGCAGTTCGCACCCAACCTCGTTTTACAGGTCACAGAACACAGGCACACTAAAACTATTGTGCAAAATTAACTGCAGGTTATATGCACAAGGTACATATGAAACATAAATATAGCTGGGTGTGGAGGCACACATCTGTAACCTTAGCACTTCTGGAGGATCACCATGAGTTCAAGGTCAGCCTGGGCTACTTTGTGAGCTCAAGGATAGCCTGGACTACACAGCAAGACCCTGTCCTCTCCCAAAAATGCATTTTCTATTTACAGTCCCACCCTTAAATTATCTCACTGTGCATATGCAAATATTTTAAGATTCAAAAAAATCTAAAACATTTCTGGTTCCAAGCATTTTGGATAAGGGATATGCAACCTATAGTTAAATTTATATCTAAGGTCCTTTCCATTTCTGAAGCACAGTGATTCTTCATACTTCTAAACCAACTTCACAGATAATTCATTAATGAGCAATCATGCAAATCTTTTCCTTATGATAAAATTACAACACACAATCACCAAGCCATACCCTC